AGTGATCATAGTTCCATCAGTTTCTCATGTTTTGTTTACCAGTTTATCCCACTTCCTAAGTGCTTGGACCCACATCACATTGGACCGGTGGGTCTTAAGCATGGTGGAACTGGGATATGCCCTCCAGTTCATTTCTAAACCCCCTCCTCCCATGCACCCCACTTTAGAGATTGTCCTTCAACGGGAGATCCAATCTTTTCTTCAGGCAGGGGCCACAGAGGAAGTTCTGTGGTACCTCAGGGGGAAAGGCTTCTATTCCCGCTACTTCCTTATCCCCAGAGCAAAAGGGGGTCTCTTTTAGATCTAAGAGAGTTGAGCAAATTTCTGAAGAAAATAAAATTCTGCGTGGTTACCCTAGCCTAGATTATTACTTCCCTGGAACAGGGGGACTGGTATGCTGCTCTTGACTTAAAGGATGTTTACTTCCATGTCACAATATGCCACAACCATTGGAAAATTCTCAGATTCATGGTGAATAGTTGCCATTATCAGTTAACAATAGTTCCATTTGGTTTGTCAGCTGCTCCTCAGGTGTTCATGAAGTGCATAATGGTGGTGGCAGTGCATCTACAAAAATTAAGTGTCCATATGTTACAGTACCTGGACAACCTCATTGATCAGAGGTCGGTCTGAAACTCAAGTCCTGTCCAGCATATCCACTGTCCTGTCCATATTCAACATGCTGGCACTTGTAGTAAATTGGAACAAATCAATCCTGAAACCAGTACAGACAATAGAGTTCATTGGGGAGTGCGAGTGTTCATTTTGTCATCTCTAGATTGCTGGATGGGCCCTCTGAAAGTTTGCATAGGGGTTCCCTTTTCCCCTCCCACTGCCAAGCCTCACTGTAGTTACAGGTGTGTCATCCCTGGGTTAGGGAGCTCATACCAGGTCCCTGCAGACTCAGGGTCTCTGGCCATCTTGAGATCTAAAGACTCTCATAAATGTTAGGGAGTTAAGAGTGGTGCGTCCAGGCTACTTGGTCTTCCTCTTCCACATAGTAGGAAATAATTTATTAATTTTAAGAGAGAATTGAACAACCATGTTTTACATAAACAGGCAGGGAGGGGCATGTTCAACTCAGCTGTGCCAGGAGCCAGTTTGTCTCTGGGTTTTTTGTACAACTAAGTTCATCTCAGGGCTGCTTCCCTTTCAGGAAAACAACACGTTAGCAGATCTGCTGAGCAGGTCCTTTGCTGATTGCCACGACTGATCACTATATCCAGGTCCATCTTCCAGCTCTAGGGGACTCCCCAAGTGGACCTGTTTGCAGCAAGAACCAACAGAAAATGCTCTCAGTTCTGTTCATGGGAAGGGATCAGTCCAGGCTTACTAATAGCTGCTTTTCTTTTATCTTGGAAGAATTTCCTCCTGTACACCTTCCCTTCGATTTCTTTACTTCATGCACTGGCACAGCTTCGTCAACACTGGTACTCAACCTTTCTAACCTTGTCAGTTGAGCCTCCGCTGTCTCTCCCCTTGGATCAAGACTTAATTTCCCAGGATCATGGGCACCTGCTCCATCCCAGCTTCTGAGCTCTCCATCTGACAGCGTGGATGCTTCATAGCTGACACCCTTTGAAAGGTCCTGCTTGAAGGACCTTCAGAAAGTGCTTCTGAATAGCAGAAACCCCCAAACTAGGAACACTTATCTGGCTAAGTGGAAGTGCTTCTCTATTTGGTCTCGTTGGAAAGGTGTATCTCCCGAGTGGGTACTCCTGAACCTTGTACTGGATTATCTTCTAGATTTAAAACAGACTTTGCTATTAGCTCTATAAGAGTGCATCTGGCAGCTATTTCAGCCTTCCGTGTCTCAGTGGATAGTAAATCTCTTTCCTCCAACCCCATGGTCACCCAGTTCTAACAAGCTTAGTCAGAATGTACCCACACATACAAGATCCCTCCTTGGGATCTGAACTTAGTCCTAGCAAAGTTGATTGGACCAGCCTTTGTGTTCCTTGCAACTTGCTTTCTCCTTCACCTCTCTATAAAGATAATATTTCTTGTGGCAGTTACCTCTGCCAGAAGGCTGGACGCGTTGAGAGCCCTAGTTTCAGAGCCTCTCTCTTCCCTCATCCAAAATTTTCCCGAAAGTCGTCTCTGATTTTCATAAAAAGAAAAGGAGTACTTGTGGCACCTTAGAGACTAACCAATTTATTTGAGCATGAGCTTTCGTGAGCCACAGCTCACTTCTGATGAAGTGAGCTGTGGCTCACGAAAGCTCATGCTCAAATAAATTGGTTAGTCTCTAAGGTGCCACAAGTACTCCTTTTCTTTTTGCGAATACAGACTAACACGGCTGTTCCTCTGAAATCTGATTTTCATGTTAACCAGGCAGTCAATCTGCTGACATTCTTCCAAAACCCCATATGCGCAGGGATGCGGAAAAACTTCATTCACTGGATGTGAGAAGGGCTTTAGTTTTCTACCTAGGGTGCTGTCCTTTAGATCCTCCACACAATTCATTGTGATTGCAGACAGAGCTAAGAGCCTACCAGTTTCCATGCAGAGACTCTCATCCTATATCTCTTTGTGCATTTGTTTGTTACCAACTGGCTAATATAACCCCACCAGCTAGAGCAGGGGTCGGCAACCTTTCAGAAGTGGTGTGCTGAGTCTTCATTTATTCACATTTAATTTCGCGTGCCAGTAATACATTTTAACATTTTTTAGACGGTCTCTCTCTATAAGTCTATAGCCTGGGGTTCCGTTCACCTAGGCCGGCAGCAGGCTGAGCGGGGTCTGCGGCCAGGACCTTGGCTGGCAAGGGGCCAGCAGCCAGAACCCCAGTGGTGAGCGGGGCCGGTGGCCGGGACCCCAGACCAGCAGTGGACTCAGCCCACTGCCAGTCAGCCCGCTGCTGGTCTGAGGTTCTGTCTGCCGGCTGCTGCCAGCCAGGGTCCTGGTTACTGGCCCCACTCAGACTGCTGCCCGTCTTGGATCCCTGTCCTGCACACATAGAGTAGGTACCTACCTTCTCCCTGGTTCTAGCCCATTCTCTTCCTCTCTCTCTGCACTGAGCTGAGGGTGGGAGTGCACTGAACACAGGGCTGGGGGTGAAGGAGCAGGCTGGGTGTTGGGGTGTAGGGTCTGGCCAGGAGCTAGAATGAGGGAGGGGGCTCAGGGTTGGGGCAGGAGGCTTGGGTGTGGAGTGCTTACCTGGGCAGCTCCCATTTGGTGCGAGGGGTGCAGGTGGGAATGTGGGGGGGGGGGGTGCAGGAGCTCCCGTTTGGTGCTCAGGGTGGGGGTGGGACTGTGGGGTATGCAAGAGTCGGGGCATGGGGTGTGGGGGGTGCAGGAGTCAGGGCTGGATGTGTGTGAGGAGGGTGCAGGAGTCAGGGCAGAGGGCTGGGGTGTGTGAGGAGGGTGCAGGAGTCAGGGCAGAGGGCTGGGGTGTGTGAGGAGGGTGTAGGAGTCAGGACAGAGGGCTGGGTGTGTGAGGGGGATGCAGGGGTCAAGGCAGAGGGCTGGGGGTGTCGGCTAGGGTTGTGGGGGTGCTCCCAACCCCCTGCCCAGAGTGGCTCAGGCAGGGGGCTGGAGGGGATATGCCCTGATTCCACCTCCTTTCCCCAAGGCCCCGTCCCCACCTCTTCTCCGCCTCCTCCCCGGAGTGAGCGCGCTGCAGCTCCACTTCTCCCCCTCCCTCTCAAGGGCCATCAGCTGATTGGTGGCAGGGAGGGAGAGGAGGAGGAGCAGGAACCCAGCATGCTGGGGGAAGAGGCGGGGGAGGGGGAGCTTGCCTACCCTGCATCAGTAGCTGGCAAGACCAAGCTTCTCATTATGCCATTTCCCATTATACCAGAGAGTCCCGGTTTCAGACAGGTTGTCTTATAATCACTGTTCAGTTAGACTCCCAGCCCACCTCCATGTGAGTTTGCTTGTGAGTCGCCTACAGTGGAATGGACATGTGCAATCACTTGAAGAAGAAAAAAATGTTACCTACCTTTCTGTAACTGTTGTTCTTTGAAATGTGTTGCACATGTCCATTCCACAGCCCACCTGCCTTTCCTCTCTTTCAGAGTCTATCTGGTCTGAAGAAACTGAGGGGGTTTCGGGCAGCCCCGCCCACCTATACCAGGATGCAGGGGTGTGTGTGGCACTAGAGGGAGCTCAAGCCATCCTGACTGGTATTGCTGAGGGAAAAAAATATATGACAACTGTGCCTGGGGCATGTACACACCTACCGTGGAATGGACATGTGCCACACATCTTGAAGAACCACAGTTACAAAAGGATAGGAACTGTTTTTTTTATTTAGCAATCAGTGGCCACATGCTAACCTCTGCTGTGCAAATTGTGACAGGGCTGGTGAGAACAGCAAGCTTGCTGTGTACTCTCCATAGCCTCCTGTCCGCAAACATCAAGGAAGTTGGGGAAACAGTTGGGGAAACAGCCTTTCTGCATGATCACGGCTGGTCTGACTAAATGTCTGCCCAGAATTTTACTGCAGGCCAAACCATTACATAATTCCCTCTTTTGCAGTTACAAGTTGTGTGTGTATGTGGACATGCATATGTTTGCGTGTTTCAGTGCAGCCCACCAGCAGGGAATGCATAGTTTGTAAGGTGTTCAGGAAGCCGAATCCCCAGCTGTTTCTACAGGGAGCAAACTCCAGCCCTTGGCAGGACAACTTAAAAGAATCTGTGAATAGACACCCATGGAGTTTCCCACCTCCCACTCAAAATTCTGCATTGAAGAGGCATTGGCCTATTAGGGAGACAGTATGATCCTGGGAATCACCTGACAGAGTCAAGAGACCTGGGTCCTACTCTTGACTGTGTCATTGGCTCACTGTGTGATGCTGGGGAAGTCACTTAACTGCTCTGTGGCCCAGTAATATGGGAATAACCATGCTTACCCACCTTAGCAAAGCAATTTGCGATCTACAGGCAAAAAGCACTAACTAGTATTTGTATCTAACTTACTTTAAAATAACTACTCACTCTCTCTTTCTTCTGTAGCTGTGTTATGACTCTTCATACATGCTTCTTTCTCCTCAGAATTCAGATAAAAGAAGAGGCAATTAATCAGCTTCTGTTTGAACTAAAGCAACTAAAAGAAAAGAACAAAAAATATCATGAAAGAGTAAGTAAACACGCATCTCTCTCCCATCTCATGCTCTCTAGTATATTTTAGCTAGTAAAGCTAAATCATTTGTCATGGTAAACTACACACTTACTGTAACTACAGTATTTGTAGCAATTAATATTTTGCAAAGCCTATTTTGAAAACAAGGTTAGTGAATCACTTTATATGCTTAAGGAGGTATAATTTTGTCATTCTAAATTATATGTAACAAAATGGAGTTCTGCTCTAAAAATAACTAAAAATGGTTTGCATGGGTATAATGATTTGGAACTTAGTAAACAATTCTGTGGCTCTTGCGCAGGAAGAAGTAGAATCCAACTTCCTCTGTATTACCCATGCTGGCTGTGCAGGTTTAGGAGGAATAAAAATCAGTATGATCTTATTTCTGTCATTTAAGTGAGCAGATAATGGCTCTGAATACAGATCTGTTGAATAAGAAGGTGTCATTTTTATAATCTCTTCTGATGTAGTGGTGTTGCACAAATGAAAATGTGGGACTAGTTTGGCCTGCAGAACCTCAAATATAGTGAAAAATGAGGAAAAGAGCCCAGCTCAACTCTCCAGGCTGAGTTTGCAATGTTGCCAGATAGAGAAATAACTTACTTGTAAATTAACCCCATTGAGTCACTTTAGAAACAAAGAAAAATGGAACCCCAGGGTGCTAATTTTATGTGGTCACTGTTCCAGAAGAATCACACTTCAAAGATAAATTTAGTACAAGGCCTAATTAGGTTGCTGTCAGAGCACAATGAATTTTGGACTCCAGAAATATATATAATGTATTGATCAAGAAAGACTGTCTCTCTCAATGAAATGAAAGAGTTGGACCTTGGCAATCAAACAGTTTTGCAGACTAGACTTCTTCCAGAAGGTGAAGTGGACAATAAAGTCCCTATCCTCCCCTTGCCCTCTGTTTGTAGCACTTTACTAAGTGGTCAAGTGTGATTAGGCCACTGATTTTAAGTCTCCTCTTAAGAGAGCTGTAGCTTCATGTGGCTGCTGTTTCCCAAATTCCTGCAGCATCTATTCTCTTCCAGCTGTGGACTGCTGACATCACTGGGAGCAGCTAATTTGGCTCTGCTCTCCACCAACAGCTGTAGTCTCTTGTGATTTTCCCCCTAGTTAGCAGCCAACTCACGGTCTCTCATGGGACTCCTTTCATTTTTTAGTTCTTGGAGGATATTTTAGAGTATTCAGAGTAGCAGCCATGTTAGTCTGTATTCGCAAAAAGAAAAGGAGTACTTGTGGCATCTTAGAGACTAACCAATTTATTTGAGCATAAGCTTTCGTGAGCTACAGCTCACTTCAGCTGATGCATAAAAGTAGAAAATGCAGTGATGATGTTTTTATACACACAGACCATGAAAAAATGGGTGTTTATCACTTCAAAAGGTTTTCTCCCCCCACCCCACTCTCCTGCTGGTAATAGCTTATCTAAATTGATCAGTCTCCTTAGGGTTTAACAAGAACGTCTGAGGGGGGGGAGTAGGAAAGGGTTTAACAAGAACTTCTGAGGAACATGGGGGGGGGGGTAGGAAGAAAGGAGAGTGATCACTTTAGATAAGCTATTACCAGCAGGAGAGTGGGGTGGGGGGAGAGAAAACCTGGATTTGTGCTGGAAATGGCCCACCTGGATTATCATACACATTGTAAGAAGCTGTAGCTCACGAAAGCTTATGCTCAGATAAATTGGTTTCAGCAGGAGAGTGGGGTGGGGGGAGAGAAAACCTTTTGTAGTGGTAAACACCCATTTTTTCATGGTTTGTGTGTATAAAAAGATCTTCTGTACTTTCCACAGTATGCATCCGATGAAGTGAGCTGTAGCTCATGAAAGCTTATGCTCAAATAAATTGGTTAGTCTCTAAGGTGCCACAAGTACTCCTTTTCTTTTTGCGAATACAAACTAACACGGCTGTTACTCTGAAACCTACCCTTGTAAGGAGAGTGATCACTTTAGATAAGCTATTACCAGCAGGAGAGTGGGGTGGGGGAGGGAAAACCTTTTGAAGTGATAAACACCCATTTTTTCATGTGTGTATAAAAACATCCTCACTGCATTTTCTACTTTTATGTATCAGATGAAGTGAGCTGTAGCTCACGAAAGCTTATGCTCAAATAAATTGGTTAGTTTCTAAGGTGCCACAAATACTCCTTTTCATTTTAGAGTATGCTGCACTACCCTTTGTTTCCTTTAGCCTAGTTTTGGGCTCCCTCTTTTTTTCACCCTCATTTCTCTGGTCAGTTGGGCATTGATCCTTTGAGAAGCAGAGTGTCTCTGATGATTTCTGGCTGTGTATTTTATTGGATTCCCATTGTTATGTATTTGGCTTGTATAGTACACCTCTACCCTGATATAACACTGTCCTCGGAAGCCAAAAAATCTTACCGCGTTATAGGTGAAACCGCATTATATTGAACTTGGTTAGATCCACTGGAGCGCGCAGGCCCCTGCCTCCCTCCCTGGAGCGCTGCTTTACTGCATTATATCCGAATTCATGTTATATCGGGTAGTGTTATATCGGGTAAAGGTGTACTTAGATCTCTCATGGTGTGGCATTGGGAGCAAACTCACTAAATTGGTAGCTGCAGACTGTTTCCAACTGGAGTTTGGGCGACATGATAGAGAGACATGGTGTAGTGATCTGGGTACAGACACGGGTACCAGAATACCCCGTAGTTCTAATTTTGACTGTGATGCTAATTTTTTTCTGTGGCCTCTGAGCAAGTCATTTAACCTTTCACTGTCTTAGTTCACCATGTGTAAAACAAAGGTGATAGAACTTAAGTGGTATGTTGTTATAAGGTATGTTTGTATGTTGCCCAGAATTCTGCTGAATCTAAGCGAATAAGTCAGTAATAAGTATTATTGTTAAAACGCAACATGCAGCCTATATTCTTAAGTGAATAAGTCAGTAATAAGTATTGTTAAAACGCAACATGCAGCCTATATTCTTAGCAATGGGAATATTGAGCAGACTAACAGTCATTTGTCTCCCTTTTCCTGGTAGTAACAGGTTTGAGCTTAGTTAGAAACTTCTGGGACTTACAAAACATCTTCAGCTCTACTTTTTTGCAAGGAACCATGTTGTCACAGATCCAAGTGATATTTCAATTTGTTACTCAGGAAGAGATTTTAAACCCCTTTTATTATGTATCTTACTCTTGTTCCTCTCATAGAATGACTATCTGAAGGAAGAACAGCTGGGACACATCCGCAGTCTGCTAAGCAACTTGAAAACACAGGGCAAAGAACTAGAGCAAAAGGAGGTTGTAACCAGGGATGATGTAGAGGCAGCAATGAGGGAGAAATGGCAATATTTTAGGGACCAAGAAATACTTCTGAAAGGTGAGTAGTAAGTTAGTTATGCAAGTGCTGTTTGCAGTTTTCCATAGTTAGGACTGAGTTGAATTTTGCACTAAAGCAGCACCACCTAACCCCAGTCTGGTGTCAGGCTAGTGTCTTCCTCAGTTTCCCCTCACTCAAGTTGCATCTCCCAATCTTCCAGCCTGGTTTGATTGCTACAGTGTTTTGGCCAGCAAAGTCAGTAAAGAAAAATTCCCTGAAGGGTATCCACATTGAAAAAAATACAACGCGGCCTTCCACCCTCAGTGTCAAACTGGGCACAGCCCCCTCCTTCCTGAGGGCTTGTCTTTTCATCTGATTTCAGAACTCTTCAGCTTGCCCTCTGGAATCAGCTTTCCGCCCTTCCCTGGCTCTGCTCAGTCTCTTCCTTCAGACCAGGACCATCCCTAGGGGGGAGCGGGGCCGGGGACATAGGTGCTGAGTTTCTAATCTGCTGGGGGCTGCTCCCCCTGGCTCCGCCCCCATTCCACCCCTTCCCCCAAGGCTGCGCCCCCTGCCCTGGCTCTTCCCTGCCTCTTCCCGCCCTTCCTCTTTCCTGCCCAGTTCTGCCCCCTCCCGCAAGCACACTGCACCCTCACTCCTCTCCCCTCCCTTCACCAGTGCCTCCTGAGGCCGTGAAACAGCTGATCTGCGGCAGGCGGTAGGTGCTGGAAGGGGAGGGGAGGCGCTAATCGGCAAGGCTCGCCGGTGGGCAGGAGGCGCTGGGGGGAGGGAGAGGTTCTGATAGAGGGGCTCCTCCTCGCCCTCCCTCCCTGCCGCTCACCTCCCTATTTGCCTCCTCACCCCGCTTGTCTGCCCAAATCCTGCCTCCCTCCCCTCTTGCCCGGGCCCCCCCAAATTGTGGAGCCCAGGGCAGTCGCCCCGATTCGCTGTACCCAAGCGATGGCTCTACCTCAGACCCTCCTTTGGGGGGTTCGTTTGGGTCTCTTCCCACTTTCCACCAAGAATCAATTCCCAGCACTGGCTCTCCACAGTCCTCTGTCTTATCTCCACTACAGAAGGCCTGATTTAGCCTCATGACCTGCCTGTCATGTGACCTTGTTCATTTTCTCCACATGGCAAAGTGAGTGAGGTGTGTTACTGGTGGGACTGGATCCCTCATCTTCACTTAAGGGCCAGTCACCATGTGACACAGAGATTCAGCTTATTGGTTACATAGAAAGAATACAGCTTTTCCTCCCCAAAATTAAGGCACTTACTCTTTGAGTACAGAATGATTTGTCCAGGAATTTACAAATAAATCAGTAAATCAGTTTATTGGTTTGAGTTATAATTAATTTTAAATGATTCCTGTAAGAAATTAGACACCCTGTGTTGGTCCTTTTATGTCTCGAGTTATAATGGAATAATACTCTTCAAATTTTCAAATTTGACTCTTCAAATTTTCCATGTAGTTAAAACTCATTGAAATGTTGTGCACTGACTACATGTAGAGATTTTTTTTAAGATTAGTAGCCATTTATTGCTGTTATGCTTCACAGCTGAAAGTTTCTTTTTCCTCAGAGGCTGAGGAATAATGTTCTACTACAGAAATTCCCAGCACAGCCCTCATTTGAACTGGCTGCCATTTCCTATTGTTCTTAGTAGGACTGGTGCCCTCAGTTAAAATGGTCTCTTTCAAAATGGCCATGGTCACCTATTGTTTCCAACCAGGTGAGACCAAGCTGCCGTCAGGGAAAATGGTGGCCCCTGAGAATATAGAGGGTCAGGATTTTGTAATAAATTGTAGGATATGAGATTTCCTCCTCCACTCCCATTGAAAGCTCCCTAACTGAAAAAAATTGGTACAAAATTGATACAAAAAATGACAGAAAAAAGGACTCACCCTTCTGGTTTTGTTATATTAATAGAGCTACGCTCCAAGATAAATGAAGTTGAGCATAAACTAGTGGTAAAACAGGCTGAGAAGGATTACTGGTTAGAGTACAGAAATGTGGGGAGTGGAGAACATGCCAAACAGATCAAGCTCCTAGAAAATGATATCCACGGACTCAAAGATGACGTTGAGCAAATGACAGGTCAGTTACGGCAAGGTCAATACAAGTACATATAGTGCATAAATAAGCTATAGTCTTCATTTGCAGAAAGTTATTTGTGCTCAGACTAATTACATCCATTTAAGATAAAATATTTAAACCTATATACCTGTATGTAGGCAACTAAATAAAAGCAACTTACTTTTCAGAGGTGCTCCACTGAAGTCCAGGGAGCATTGCAGGTGTGCAATACCTTTTGAAAATTAGGCTGCTTTTATATAGGTGATAGATTATGGAGCCTAATTTTAGGTACCTTAGTTTGAAAGTGTTGGTTTGTGCTACTGTGCTGAGTGCTTCTTATCGTATACCATGCTTCACAGGTTTCCATTTGAAAGCTCCTTTAACACAGGAGAAATTTTAGATCATTTCTGCGATTGGTGAAATTCAGACCTAGTATAATCAGGTGCCAATGGAGCTTCACCTGGTTACGCAAGAACTGAATTTAGCCTACTGGTAACAAAGTCCCTTGTCTGCGGCTTTGCAAAATCCCCAACATGAATATATGCAAATTCAAGGCATAGTTTAAGTTCTGAGGGAGCATATGTAAGAGCTTAGATATAGTGGTGTGTGCTCTATAAAACTATTATATAGATTCATTTGTATAGCGGACTTTTAAATAATATGCCAGTTATTTAGGTGTTATGTAACTCTTATTTTTTAAAAAAAGTCCTGATTTTTTTCCCTTGTAACACTCTTAGTATTCATTACCACAGCCAAGCAGCTGGTAGTGACAGGCAGCGACACCACTGTGAGATTGGTCCCCATGCAGTCGGTGCCAACCATTACCAAGCATCAAGTGCTGCAGATAAGAACCATTCAGTTATTCTCTTTGTCTTCCCCAGGGTAATTGTTCTGAAAACATACTTTATCTTGATGAAGATCTGAACTGTTTTTCCTATTGCATATTTGCCTGTCAGTTAGTATTTTAAGTAACTACCAAGGTATTTTGTACTTTGTCTTTTCCCTGTTTTAAATCAGTTCAAAATGTTATTGCACCAAGATATAAAGCAGAAAAAAGAATGAACATTTATATAGATTCATAGATCTTTAAGGCCAGAAGAGACCATTATGATAATCTAGTCTCTTTCATACAGTGATTCTTGCATCTAATCCAATAATGTGTTTGAACTAAAGCATATTTTTTGAAAGATTTACTACTATTTATATTGTTGTAGCATTTAGGACCCCCAGTCATGCGCCATGACCCCATTTTGCTGGGTGCCATACAAACACAGAACACAAAGACAGTCCCTGCCCAAAGGAGCTTACAGTCAAAAGATAAGATAAGAGACAAAAGATGGTGGTTCTTTGAGTGACTGCACGTGTCCATTCCACTTCAGATGTGTCTACGCTCAATGCGCAGTTGTCAGAGATTTTTACTTCAGTTGTACCCATCAAGGTGGCACATGTGCCCTTGCGCTGCTGGTACATGGCAGAAATGGCAGAGCTGCCCTCAGCATTCCTCAGTTCTTTCTTATTGCCTGTGATGGTGGTTGGAGCATTCACCATACTACTACAAGCTTTCCATTGATTCTAGTGTGGTATATAGTTGGTACTTGATTAACAGATAAATAGTTTTAGTGTTAGGATAGTTTAATAGTAGCTTTCCTTTTATTGGGATACTTTCTTTGTACTCTTAAGTTCCTGCCATTTGGGAACTAGTGACCCACACTCCAGGTGCCTGAAGTGCCTAGGAAAACCTCATATCCAAGACAGGTACCAAATATGCAGGGACTTTAAGCCCAAAACTAAAAAAGGATAGGAAAGTTAGACTAAAATACTTTCTGATGGAGGCAGCCCTATGCCCATCCTCAGAGCCTCCCTATTCTGAGCGAGTACCAAGCACATCTGTTTTTGTTAGGAGTGCTGCTCCTGCCTTTTCAGAGTCTTGATGCCAATCTCCTTCTCCAGTACCAAAGAAGAGGCACTGGAAGGCAGCACTGAAGGACTCAGTGACCAGAAGCACAGGGTCTTTGGCACCAAAGTCCAGCAAACATTCTGGGAAGGAGGATAGAGTGCACTCAAGGTCGAGGTGCTCCCTGGTGCAAACAGCTAAAAGAACTGAGCCAAAGGTATTATATTCCCTCATAGAAGTTTGAACCCCCCTGTCCCCTCTGGAATCCTTTGTGTTCTCTGCTGTCAATGAGAGAGCATGCCAGGGTCATCAAGCATCTGCCCCAAAATCAAAGGATGGGACCTATATCTCTTTGGGAGGAAATGTTATTCAACAGCGGGACTACAACTCCAGATTACAGGCATCCTGCAACTGATAATAGCTCGCTTTTCTCCAATCCTGTGGCAATATGATTTTTGAAGGGTTTGGCCAGGTTACATCCCCAGGTAGAGGATACACTTCCCCCCTTGGGTCTTAAACCTGGTGCTAACAAAGCTAATAGGCCCTCCCTTTCAACCAATGGTTAAATGTTTTTGGTGGCAATCACCACAGCCAGGTGAGTGGGTGAATCATGAGCTCCAGTGTCTGACCTTCTGTATAGTCTCCTTTAAGGGCAAGATATGTATGCCCTCATCTGAAATTTCTCATCAAAGGGGTGTCTCACTTTTACATCAATCAGACAATCTATTTACTAATTTTTCTTCCTGAAGCCTTGTGCTTATAAGGATGAGGAGAGACTTTATACATTAGACATTAGGAGAGGTAAATATTAGGTGTAGTTTGACTTCTGTATTTGGGGGTGGGGGAGCTTCAATCAGGCCAATGGGGCTGCACGTGAGCAGGGGCACCCTTTCAGATTTGGGGGGGCAACTTTAACCATGATTCCAGGGGCTAATTAGGCACCTGAAAACTCTAGCTTTCTTGCAGATAACAACTTAGAAAGTGACTGACAGGAGCACTGTATCTAATTCCTATAAAAAAAAGAAAAAAATTTAAATAAATATTAGACTCACTCAGCTCTAATACTAACATGTTCTGACATCTTACAGCAAGTCACTTAAGGGACACTGGTTTGGTTTAGACTTCTTAATGGTTTGTGTGGTGCATAGCACAATGGGGGACTCCTACTGATTAAGGTGTTTGGGCACTACTGTAACATGACTCAGCTGTTGAGATGCCCACTGGTGATAGCTGAAGGGACTTACGTGGTGGGTGGGATGTCAGGTCGATCTCTGTTGGCCAGCAGCACAGCCTTCATCCCCACAAGCTCAGCACCAGCTGGCACAATTTGCAGCACAGCATGGCCACACATCTGTCCTTGGAGCTGCAATTGCTAGTGGACATGATAACTCTGGACCAGAAGGATCTGTCCCCAGTCTCTTCTCAGGGAGAGGTGAGGGTGTTCCCTGCTTCTCTGATGGCAAAAGCAACCACTTAGATGCTCTTAGCCCCTCACGCTCCTTGCCCCAGCGACTGTTCCCCCCCCCCCCCCGATGCTTCCCCCACACTCACTGCCCCCATCTTTAGGGCACAGCCCTATGCCCTCCCCTTTCCCTTTCCCTGGAGATTGATTCCCCTTTCCCACCCCACTACCCTCCCCCCCGCCAGGCTCCAACCCACCACCACTGGGGCCCCTGTGCTCCCCCAAGCACTCCCACCATGGGGCATCCTATACTCTCTCGTTCCACCGTGACTGACTCCTTCCTTGCCTGTCCCACCCCCATAGGCCCTGTTCACTGCCCCACTACTATTGGTTAGAAGGATTGTCACGCCGTATAGTCTCAGCTGCTGATTGGTGGAGGCAGGTGAGGGGGCGGGGTGGGTTAGCTAGCACAGCAGAGGAAACTGATTGGGAGAGTCCCAGCTTCAGTGGGGGAGCAAATTCTGTGCCTGGATGAGGTTTGCAGTTTGCAGGGGCAACACCACCCCTACCTCCACCCAAATATGCCCATGAGCGTTAGCCTTTTATTTGGACAGGACTAAACCATTTAGATCACTGTCACAATTGTTTGTGGCAATGGCAGAGAGGATGAAAGGTCTTCTGGTCTCTTCTCAAAGGATCTCCTCTTGGATATGCTTTTGCTATTATGTGGCCAGTGTAACTCCACCAAATAGGGTGCTAGCACATTCAACCAGATCTCATGTATTCGTGTAGTTTTTCTGGCCCAGGTGCCTAGTCTGGACATTCGTAAAGCTGCAACTTGGTCTTCAGTGCATACCTTTGCCTCTCATTATGCTACCTCTCAACACTCTAGGGATGATGCCAACTTTGGACGTATGGTCTTTCCGTTGTTATTCTGATAGACTCTGATCCCACCTCCATATCGAGGTACTTGTGAGTCATCTGAATGGAACGGACATGTGCAGTCGGTCGAAGAAAGAGAAATGGTTACTAACCAGTTCTGTAACTGCTACTCTTTGAGATGTGTTGTACATGTCCATTCCACTACCCACCCTTCTTCCCCTCTGCACCGGAAATCAGTGCGGTAAGAAGGAACTGAGGGGTTTGGGTGGCTCTGTCCTTTATACCATCGTGCAGCAGCAGAGGGTGCATGCACCATCCCAACAGGTACTGCTGAGGGAAAAATCTCCGACAACAATGCACTAGGCACGCACACACCTGAAGTGGAATAGACATGTGCTACACATCTCGAAGAACAACAGTTAAAGAACAGGTTAGTAACTATTTCTTATAGATAGATGGAAAGAATGAGACAATATTGGTCAGCATGATAGGCTATGGTCTCTGCACACCAGCAGCCTAACTGTTGAAGAACATGCAAGAGTCTTTTTATGTAATTCAAACAGCATAACAGACATACTGCTTCCACTGGACATTGGAAGTACTATTCTGCTCAGGTTCTTTAAAATGACTCATAAAGTGAAGTGCATGTGAGGTAAAGAAACTAGAAGGATTAAGATAAAAGTAACTGCATAGATGTAATGAAGAATCACAGAAATGTAGGACTGTAAGGGACCTTGATAGGTCATCTAGTCCAGTCCCCTGCACTGAGGCAGAAAAAAGTATTATCTAGACCATCCCCTGACAGATGACTGTCTGACCTGTTCTTAAAATGTCTACAATGAC